TACTACAAAATATGTAAAGGATTTTTTTTTTGAGAATATAGGCTAAATCCCTAACACAGTAAATGCTCATAGTGAAGAAAGGTACTTCAAAGGCAGGGGAAAGTTGAATGACATACACCTACCTTGCAGATACCCTAGGCATTACATAGAGCAGCACAGCAGAGGCTCTATTTGCTCACCAAGGAGGCTGAAAGAATGAATAATGAGTATTAAGCTGCTGGCGTTGCTTCTCAAGCAAGAGGGTTCATCTGAGCTCAGTAGTCATATAGACTAAGGCAGTTTGGAGTCTCATAACAAAGCAGCTGCCTGGACCCCCCTGCTGCAGCAGACCTATGCACTGGCACCTCCCACAGGGACAATCTGTCCCCCAAAAGATTTGAATTCATGTCCAACTTTACTTGCCCAGAAGTTAGATGCACTGAATCACCCACTTATTTTCTTTCTGAACGCTCACACAGAAAATGAGTGTCGAGATGAGTGTGTCACATTGGGGTGCCCTGCACTGCTGCCCTGGACAGCCAGAGAAGTTCTACACTCCCATGAGGCTGCTGAGCAAGGTGGAGAACAGGCTGTGGAGCTGCATTATGAATTGCTTGCACTTCAATTCCCAACTCAAACTCTCAATTTTGATAATGACAGTTAAAAACTATGGCTTAAAGTAACTCAGCGCCTGTGAAAATTAGGCCACCATCCAATTTTCATACATTGAAATGAAAATCAATCTGACATTTTTTCCAAACCAGTGTGTTTTTAACCAAGTCAACACAATACTGTGCTGTAACATGAGTAAGTGCAAGTTATATGCAGGCTATCAACTTCAGGCACCTATTGAGATTTTCCCACATTGTATTGGTTTTGTATGGCCTGGTTCTTGCTAGTGGGGGGGCACAGAGGTGGTTTCTGTGAGAAGGTGGGCTGTCAGCTTAGCAAAATTATTTATATCACCCACATGAAGAATCCTAACTATCACTTGTGCAGTCAGAGTAAGATCCAAGTGCTTCTGGAGGCTTCCAAAAATGAGTCAAGAGGTCTATGTTGGGATCACCGTACCAGTCACTGTGTCAGATGCACTTCCATAGGATTATTCATTGTGCTGGCACACACATTTATTAATGCTGGATTGTTGTTGCTAGCATATTGCTGTTCCCAGAAAACAAAAAGTAAAAAATCTTTTTTATTCTGTTTAACAGGCAGATAATTATTTGAATGTTACTGATACTGAAAGCAAGGAGCTATGAGAGTGATCAGAGCAATGTCAGTTTTCTCAATGCCAAAGCATGTTATTAAACAACAGAAAACACTTCTAAGAAAGGACACATACTATTTACAGAAATAATAAATCAAGCCTTATGAATAACTTTTGCACAGAGTTGTATGAAATGCAGCTACAAACTTGTAAATTTTTTTGTTGGTGACATATATTGCTTTAGAACTGCCTAATTTTTCTGCCCATTCATTTGTGGTGATCATAAATGACTAGAGTTTGCATGAAAAATGCATAAATACTGTGAAAAAAAAGGGAAATATCAAGACAATTTTACTGGCTTGTGCATGCCTCTTCTATTTCTTGGTAATTGCTGCTTTGCTGTGTGATTAAATCAAAGACTGTTTGGGAAGAAAGAGGAAGAAATTAAAAAGCAGCAAAGACCAGACAGTAGCCCAAAGTAAATAATGTCAAACATTATAAGACAATGGCAGATGCTTCATCAGTTGTCAAATAAACACGTTCTTTGTTTAAGATCAAAACACATACTGAGTTCTAAATATGCTGGTGCTAGAAGAAGGTCTGGATTGTCAAGTGGACTGAGAGCCCTGCTTAAAGAGACCTGCAGGTAATACACATTTTGTCTAAATGTGTATTAAAAGACATTTGGGGCATTGTTTAGGCCATATTCCTGAGCTGCCCATGGAACAGACTTGAAAGCTGGTTAACTTGTGATAGAGGTAGCTGGAGAGAAAGAGAGACAGGGGCTAAGCCTAGGAAAGACTGGCAGCAAAGCCAGGCTCGTGCAGAGCAGCTGCTGCCCACAGTTCCTTGTGGAACCCACTTGGAACATGCACAGCCACCCCCAAGGAGAGCAGAGGACACAGGCAAAGGGTACGGGGAAGGATGTGGATGTGAGCAGGGCTAGGCATGAGCTGGCACTGGGGGGGTCTGGCTGCCCCAGTAATGCCTAGGAAGGAAGGGCTCTCGCTGGGAACAGACAGCAGCTTGGAGAGCATAGCTTAGCCCTATCTGGGAGCTGGCAGAGGTTTGAACAGCTGGAGCTGCTAAAGCAGCCAAACTGATCCCAACTCAGCCCTGACCTCAACGATGAACTCGAGAGGGACAGAAAACGTACAAGTACATCTCACCTCGTAACTATGTGGTGCACAACATGAGCTTCCACTGGAAAAATTGGTAAGAATGTGAACTTTGATTTCAGTGGTGTTTTAAGCTGGAATTTTTTTCTCCGAATTGCTACTATGCATTTCCCAAACTTTTTCCCAGGTCTGCTTAGTTTCCTAAAGAAACATTTATGTTTCCCATAGGAATCAAACAATGCTATAGCTTTTCACAAGCTTTATTGACCTGTGATATTGAGTATCTGCCATAATGAAGAAAATTCATATCAGTGGAATATTAGAAAGAAGAAAGGTGATTTATTAGGAGCAGCATCTCTTATTAAAGCTGGCTTAAATTTATAAGAATTTTCCAGCATCTGTCTAAAAATTTTGCAGAGTTTTTTATCCACAAGGGAACGACATGAAACACTGTAATTGCACCACACAGTTCTCCAAACAGTTTTGCAAAGATATACTTTGATAAGGAAGCCCTTTTATTAATGACACTATGCTTGGCAAAGGACCCAGGAACCGTTTCTGTGAGACAGCCATACAGAGACATGTTTATTTTAAACTTTCAGGTTGGAGTCTCCTGTTTCACTGGGTTTAGACAGCTATAGCGCTTGTGATCTGAGCAGTATTTTTCCTAATTTATACTGGCATAACTGAATAGATTCAAACATTAGAGAGTCACTGGAAATACCAATAGCATAAAAAGCTCTGGTTTTAATATGGCACTTAAAAATGAGCTGGGAGATTTCCACACTGGAAGAGGTAACTGGAGAGGCTGATCAGATGTGACGCCTGGAAAGTTAGTGTTGTGGAATACTTAGCATGTCCTGAGATGGTGGTTTAGGTAGTGTATATACCTATCAAATTAATTATAAAGTTTATTTTAGCTAGTCACATTTCTGGGCAGGGATCCAAATGTTATTGAGGCAGAATGGGTGGAGAGATGTATATTTTATCAATAAGATAAGCCAAGTCGGGAGTGAAGCTCACAAAAGAGTGCAAGAAAAAAAACACTCCTGGCATCATTGCAGTCATGACTTACAGTAATAGCACTTCAAAGTTTTGTATGGAAATACAGTTTAAAACTTAATTTTTAATGGTTGCATTTGATTGTTTCATGTGGACTTAAACATTGGCTATAAGCCATCTTTTTTTATTAAGTTGATCTGTCAAAGATTAATTCACCTGTTATTAAAAGCTACAGATGTTTGTCATAAATGTACCAGTTCAGCAACAGTGATGAAAAAATATATATGATCCCAAGGGTAATGAACTAGCCAGATTCATTTAAAAAAAGCCCCAACCAAAAAATGTGCATGGCTGAATATTAAATCTGTGAAGAAAACAATGCAGTAATACCAGTTCTGAAGATGCTGTACAAAACTGTTTATGCCAAGATGGCACCCCTATTAGATTTAGAAGGTACCATGACATTTTCAGGCACTTTTGACTGACAAATAATATTTTCCGTCTTTAATCTGCAGTCTTCCTGAAGAAAGAATTTGAAAGAATGTCCTGTAATCATTTGTGTCTGACTGTGCTTCAAATCTGCTTATAATTTAACCCCCTGGAATTATTTACTTGAATTGTTTCTGAATGACTAAACCTGTTGTTTGAAATGACAGCATGAATGTAGGCAGCAACCTAGGACTGGGAAGAAATCTCCTCTGTTATTGAGGGTTACTGAATCCCATCATTTTTCTCTGTTTCATGTCACTCATTTTACACTCTGTTCCTCATGAAGCAGACACTTACATGATGAAATACACTGACCTTGAGTGAAATTCTTCTGAGCACTTGGATTTTATGCAGTTGAAGAAAGATGATTTGGGAGGAAAAGCACCTACCCCAAAGAATTTTCCTGTAGTTCATGTGCCTTTGAAATATAGATGATGTATGGGCATCCATGACCCTGCCCTTCTTGCTCTACAGCACATTTTAAGCTTGTAAACCACTTAGTCATGCCTCAGTACCTGTTTTATGTATTGAGTACAATGGACACTTCTGAGATTTCTGACTAATTCCCAGATGGCAACTCTGCAAGGTGGTGTTTAGGAAATGTAAAGGATCCACTTTTTTTTACAGTAACTTGGCTTAAGTCCCTATGAAAAAGGAAGCCTGGAATACCTACATGGCTCTGAGGTTTAAGGTGACAATTATTCATTCTTGGTAAAAAAGTATTTTCTTTATTTTCACCTGTAATAACGTGTTGGGTCATTCCACAGCCTGCTTATTAAATGAAATTGATCTTCTCCTTTGCCTTCATTGCCAGGTTGATCCATAGTGGTAAAACTGTAATAATATTACTTCAGCATCTTCTGATTCTGCCATTACATCTGTTAGTTCACTGCTTTCCCATAAAATAGAGAATGTGATGAAAAACCATGGGATATCAGGAATAACATGCTGGTTTTCAGCTATTAATTAGTTTGAAAAATATTAGGGCATTCTTCCTTTCTAATTTTTGCTAATTACTCTGGGACTACTAGGGCATTTTATGACACAAGCATAGACACACACAAGTGCATCATATAGTTCATAAACTGACGGAGGTCTGTCATACATAGTCCTTCTTTTTCCAGAAGCACTGTGCAGGCTGTTAGAAAACACTACGGAAGAGATTTTTAAATTTCTCTTATTTAATCTGCTCTTGTCTTTTGCAGCTGACACCAGTCTTGGAACAGATGATGTTTATGATGACAAAGGGTGCCAGTGTGATGTGTCTGTAGAAGATCTCACCCCTGCTCTTAAAACTGTCATCAGAGCTATCAGGTGAGTAGAAAATACTGAATGAATAAACACTTGAATTTCCTATTTAGGATACTAATAAACTGCATGTCAATTTATGATATGATAGCTAGTTGAACTAATTCCATGGCTATATTTATTACATAATTAATGCTACTAATATGTTATGCTTCCTTTCTATTTTAGTTAAATTAAAACATTTTATCAGTTCCGTTATCAGCTTTTCAATATCTAAAAATGTTACATGATTTGACACAGAAAAGAGAGTAATGGATGCTGTTTTCCATTATATTTTATGCTATCCAAACTACAATTTGATGTACTTTTACTGAGTATGTGTCACCTTGCCTGGAAAAGTTATTTCCTTTAAAAGTGTAGGGTATTATTGCATTTCTGTATTCCTGAGACTGTCATATGACATTTATTGCAAATTTCTTCTGCTAAGAAGAGAATAATTACATTAATTTAATTGTGAAAATCTTGCCTACTACTATCCACTAAACTAAATATAACCCAAATAATTTAAAACAAATAATCTCCTTTACCAAGAAAATAGTGAACTGCATTGAAACTTATAAAGTTACCTGCATTGAAAGTTTAAGCTCACCCTCTTGAGACTGCCAAGCCTATTTATCTTCCAGAGTATTTTGAAGTATAAGTCCTGATGGTCAAAATCCCCACTATGAGGTGTACAGCAACAAGCAAGGAGAGCTCAAGCATTCCCTGTGTCCTGGCAGCAAACCTCAGGTTATCGCTGGGGGTCACCCCACTGCCTCTGCATCACATCAGGGTCCAGCACCTTCTTGGGGACAGGAAGGCAGCCAGACAGACAGGCAGCAGCCAAAAGGAATTTCTGCAAAAATCAATTGAAAGACAATGCTTTCCTGCACAGAAACCCTTGCCTGAGTTTTCTCAGCATCATAGGGAGAAAAAACTTGAGCTTTTTATCACATAATTTCATGCAGTGATAACCTATGGGCTACTTGTATTTCCTTCCCTTTTTCCATTGAGTAAAATGAAGAGAGATAGTGAGTAAGGCTGTTTCTGAAACTTTTCTGCTGGCACAGACAGCTTGATAGACCATTTGCAGACATCTATTCCTACCATTTTTCCAACCTGCCTGGAAATGACCTCACAGGACAATTCAGATACCAGGCCTGTGTCCACAGCCACTGCAACTGGCAAGCCAAATGTCACTGCTGAAAACCACCTCTTGCTCCCAATGTTTCAGCAGGTGACAGAAGTCCTTTTTTCACAGTGGACAGCCACCCACAAGGCAAGCCTATTCCCTCAAATGGAAAATGCTCACATCAGGAACAGTCAGCATAATCCATTGACTTTGGTGTCAAAGATGTTTCTCTGTGATGCTGCATTTTGAACAGACTGGATAACTCTTGGCTCCAGGTGCACCTTGCCACTTGGTGCCACCATCCTGGCAAAGGATAATCATCCTTCATACTCTCCAAATTCCTTAAGATTGACTTCACATTTTAATACTTATTTCATGGAGCTCATTTTCTAGGGGACCACTGGATTGTTCAATGCACCATCTGCATTTTTGCTTGGTGCTCTTGGTTATTATCAGCTCAAATGGAAAGTAACCAAATGTGAAGGATATAGTTGGGAAAATTTATCCACAGTACCCTCCACAGAAATGTTCTAATAAGAGGAGCAAAGGTGCACGATTTGATTATTTCAGACAGGTACTATTCAACTGATGAGAATCGAATTTTTATATTATCTCCAACGTTTACTCTGCATACCTGGCCTTCTAGAAAAACAACTCATGTCACCACTGAGGCTGAAAGTAAGAATCTCCACTTGCCATCAATTACCCATTAATCTCTCCCATCTCCCTGCAAATTTTAGTGTTTTGCAAGATGACAAGTGACACATGCATCTTGCTTCAGAAACTGACCTTTGTTTGACATCTGTAAGGCAGTAATATGCCATGATCTTGAGACTTCTGTATATGCTATACTTTAATCTCTCAAAATCAAGAGACTGATAATTCAGTTCATCAGGTAGCTGATACACCTCTTTCTGATTATTCAGAGTATCTGTTACCAGACTACACTGGGATCTATGCAAACATCTGAAGAAGGATCTGAGACTCTATATAGTAACTGTAGAATTTCAAGATGATAACATCTGCCTATATGGAAACTTTGTGCCTCATTTTGAAGTGTGTTTTTAGAAACAGCTTTGAATTGCAAAGGCAGTGGGGGAGGGTGAAGGCTGGTTTTCCTTTCATGCTGGTATACAGAGGCAGGCAAAGACAGAAGGCACTTGCATAATTTTATGATGCACTAGGAAAAGACTGCAAATATAAACACAGACAGTTGAATCCATTCTTGACTGATCAACATGAAAAATTGCTATAAGGGAGTCTGATTATTTTTTCCTGCTTAGACCTGGGTATAAATTGTTTTACAAAGACAAAAATGACACTTTTATTTTCAGAGGAAATGAAATTAACAAAATTAATTCATGCCTGTGGGTTTACAGAGGTAGGTCCTCTCTCAGTTCTGGAATCAAAACATTTGGGGTGGGATTTTTTTTTCCTGTGCAAGGTGCCTAAAATATGCTGCTTACTCTCAGGATGCACAGCCTTGAAATAGCAAAAGACAAAAACTGGTTTATTTATAATTTTTCATTTTGGTTATTTCAAAGTCTACTGTGTCAGTTTTGACCTTGTTTACTTATATATTTTCCAGGGCTACTTTATTTTTTAAAGCAGCTTTTTAAGTAAACAAACCCCCAAACTTTCATTTTGTTGTAGCCAAAACAAAGGATGGAGAAAACAGTCCTTTCCTGAAAAAGTTCTCAACATTTTGGTCCTTTCCAAAAAAGACAGGACTCTCAACTAGTCCTACTGAAGACCCACCAGGCAAACCTGTCTGGTAGCATGTCAAGCTCCCAGTCTGCTCTCAAAGCCTCCTAAACTGAGTCTTTTATCTCATGTGCTGCCCTCTCCATCTCCTCTCACTCCACAAGCTCTGTGTCAGGAAAGCTCCACTGAGGGATAGGGAAAGTAAGGGAAAGCTGCTTGATGGAGAGTGCTGGGTGAGCAGGGAACAGATGGGCAGTGTGGTGGAACATGGTGTGCACTGCAGCACGCCTTGGGCCCAGTCAGCACCTGTCCTGCTCATCCATGGCCTCCAGCTGGGATCGGAGCAGTGCACAAAGCAGTCCTTGCTAAGAATGCACTGAGCCTGTGTGCCAGCAGGGTCTTCAGCACTACTCAACCATCCCCAGACTTGTTGTGAACAAAAAGCCATTAATATCCTGCAGAGTTCCTGGAGACTAACAAAAAACATTGCCTTTTCCAGCTCTGCTAATTCACAATGATGAATGTGTATAAAAGAGACTAAAAGGAAGATTAGGATACCTTGTTTCCCTATATTGTGATATCTCTGATCATTTTCCACAGCAAGAAGCACTCATTTCAATAATACTTTCCACATGGAAATGATGGAATTACTGTACTATTTATGGAATATAAAATGAGATTTGAGAAGCATAAATAAATATGCAATAGAAAATAACTGCAATGGCAGGAAGATGAAAGTACTGACCTAATAGGTCTTTTCTCTCTTTAACCCTAGTGATTGCAAAGATATGTTTTCATTTGTTGCTAGGAAAAAAAAAAATAACTCTGGCTAAATGTAATGAAACTTGAGAATTCTAGAGCTGATAAGCTGTATAGTTGAACAGTCATACATATTTAACAGACAAAGATGGAAAATATAATTTACCATTTATGTTCAATTTTTACAATGTTCCTGCAATACCTATAAAATGTATTTTTAGTAGCCATTTTGAATTTGTTCAAAGTAGTGTTTTAGAATCCCCTTTTTCTTTTAATCCAAACACATTGTTTATTTTCTGCCAGATGGTATTCAGAGCCTAGGCAAGGCTCTTATACATGTGTTTGGCTAGGACAGTGCTGTACTTGGGGGGAAATCATGCTAGGGGATGAGTCAGGTCGAGACACGAAAGAGAAGACAATTTTGACTCACTTGCCTCACATGTAGTAGAACTGTGTCTCAAACACCTTTGTCTCTTGGCCTCTCTGTGTTGGATCCTGATCTCTTCTGCACATTGCATTTTACCAGGAAGATGGGATATTTGGCAAAGTAAGGGTAGTGAGACAGAGGCACCAGCACAGCTAAATCTCTATGCACCTTCTTTCCTGATGTTGTAGGTGAGCAAACAAGCTGTGGTCACCTCACCAGGCTATGGATAAAACAACCTACCTGTCTTTTAATAGTCAAGGCAGTAACCATGTATGATTCCACCTGAATCCCAGTAGAATGAAGCTCCATTTCTTCCTGAGATTATGACAGGACTGACAAGACACAGCTTTGAAAACGATGGCATGAGTTTGACAGGGCTGCACCAAGGATTAGAGATGCTCTAACTTGGTGCCAGCCTCAGGAAAATGCACTAAATGACAAGCGAAACAGTTTTTAATACTGGAACAGGCATCATGAATGCAAATTAAAATGCAGTGAATGCCAGGGAAGATATGCAGCATGCACATACAGAAAGCACTGTCATTTTAGAGCAAGGCTGGTCCTGCATCCAAGAACAGATAGATGAAATGGGTGCTGCTCTTGGCCGCTATAGGTCAATGTGACAGAAGTTGGTACTGGACCTGTAATTTTCCACAAATTATCAGGGTACAGAAAGATTAGTGTGACCTGTGGTTTAGCTATTAATTCAACACAAAGCACTTTTATGTATTGGTCTGCTTCAACAGACTATTTTTTTTTCTGCTCCTCTCTGCATGTATGACTGAAAAAGCTACTTTTTATGACTAACTCTTACCAGAACACTGTCATGCTTGTGGCTTGGGTGTGTTTACAGCCGCGTATGGTCTGTCACATTAGATTTCAGTTATAAAATACCACCTTGCTCGTGGCATAGAGGGATTTAAACAGGCAGAGGAAGTTTTCCAAAGCCACGGGGCCTGCACGGCCTCGCCCTCAACAGCGGCGGCGGCGGCGGCGCCTGTGACGGGCCTTGCTCGCCCCCTGCTGGCGCCGCTGGGAAGGGCAGCCCGGGCCCGCCCTGCCCGGCTCTGCTCGGCTCGGCCCGGCCCGGCCCGGCTCGGGGCTGCTGCTCCGAGACACTGCGGGTGCGGCACTCGGTGCTCATTTCCCCTTTTGTACGGACAGGTTACCTGCAACCACCTGTGTTTTTATCCCACAGGAACTCACAGTCTACGTAGTTGCACATCATCTATCTGGGTGGGTGTCCAAACAGAAGGAATCGTGCAGTGGTTTGGGTAGAAGTGACCGTAACAACCATTCAGTTCCGACTACCCTGCTATGGGCAGGGATACTCCCACTCGGTCGCTCCAAGGTTGCTTGGGTCTTGAGATCAGCTTGCCCCAAACCCCATCCAACGTGGCCTTGAGCACTGTAGGGATGGGACATTCACAACTTTCCTGCATGATCTGTTCCAGAGCCTTACCACCCTCACAGGAAATTAATTACATAGTGGTTTCAAGATACGGGATGCCAACTGATTTTATAAAACTGACACTAAATAACTGGAGATTCAACCAAATTTAATAATTGCAAAGCAGTTGCAAGGTTCCATCACTGCCAAGGATTCAGCTTTTCTTTTCCTTAGTTAACTTGCAGGCTTTTAAAATGAGGTTTTTTTAATAGTGCAATAGTTTTTGTACAGTTTATGTAAAATTTTGTATGCTTGAACAAAAAGAAGTAAGCAATATGGGTCTGTTCCAAACCCTGCTGAAGTTAATTAAGATGGAATCACACGAGCTACTACCTAAACCAGAAATAGTACAGTTACAGCTCACTGTAGTGTAGTACAAACACAGCTGTGATGCTTTCAATTCTGTTTGACTTCTGAACATTATGAACAAACTACCTTGATAAGCAAAAAAAGTGTTATAAAGCTGCAAAGTAGTAATGAAGACTTTTGTGCCAACTGATTAAGAAGCTTCCATGGTTCTTAATAATAATTAGTCTTCTGCCTTTTCCCTTGTAAAATCACCCACTTGTAGTAAATTCAGTTGTCTTCAATTATGCCAATAATCGTCTGGCTCTTCTTTTCTAATAGAGTTTCATATTTTTACTTTATTAAATGCATGAAGTAAAACATTGTGACCACTGCAACATAATAATAGTAACAACAAAACTATTATACTGTCTTATATGTCAGCTGCATGATTCATTCTTCATAACCTCAATAAAAAAACTAGATTCAGAAGATTAGGTTGTCACGGTCCTATAAACCAACATCTTGGCATAATTTGACAACTAAACAAAAAAAAAAAAAGGCAAAAAAAAATCTGCATCCCAGATTCATAACAGCTTCACAGGCTTCCAGATTACAAAAGATACTAAAAGCCGTTGGTTTGTAGAACCAGCTGGTAATGCAAAAGAGAAAAGCCCATGATCCAAAATATTTGAAAGTGCATGGAGATCAGTCCTGAAGTGTCAAGTTGATGGACTGCTCCTAACAGGCCTTTTCCGCTTTTAATTTCTATAATCAGAATCATAGTTCAAGTTCTAGTCCAGTGACAAACAATCTCATTTTTAACTGAAAGTCACCAGAATAGGAAATAACAACAAGCTAAGTACTATGAGAAAAGGCTGACATTACCTGTAAGAATATTTATGTACAATACAAAAATCACTAGAGGATCACTATATACTATCATACAACTCTACATAGCTATTATCATAATATCTGTCCTAACTATATGAAGAATGACTTTTCTAAATTCCACTAAAACATTAATAATCTATTTTTATCAGAGAGTGAGAACCATGTTTTGGGTTTTATTATAATTTGTTGTCTTACAGCTGCTAAATACATATCATAATAAACCCAGAGGGAATATATTATCATGAATATTGGCATTTGGGATAAAATACCAATTTACAATCTCTGCTTTTTCAATTGCAATAGATAGCAAATATCAACAGTCTGGCCCTAATGGGAATTCATAAGTTCTGCAGCACAGACCAGCATGGCTAATACATCTGATCCCTTGTCTCCTCTCCTAATTCTTATGTAAACCAAGGAAAATTTCATGTTCAATCAGCTGACTGGGAAAATCATCTCACTGTCATTTACTTTCCAAATTTGTCATTTTTACTGTTTAAAATTTGTGATTTTATATCAAGCTTTCTATTCTAAGAGCTACTCAGGGGACATTGCATGTTCATGTCACATATCACAGAAACTTGTGCAAGATTCACATAAAAACATGTATGCCATTCATCAATTTTGGATGTTTACTGTTACCTGAAAGCTTACTATTCTGCAGTAAAGTTCAAGGAAAAAATCATGAATGCTAATTAAACAATAATTCCTATATATTCTAGGGAATAAACATGAAAACTTCTCTTCAGCCTGCAAAATCTGATCCTAAGTTAGCCAAATATGTTGAAAACAAGTATTTTGGCCTGAATGTTAACTAAAAAATAAAAACTGCTGAAAACTTAATGGGGTGCCTTTTTTTTTATTTCCCACAAAGAGGAGAGCAAGGAACTTAAAATGAACACCAAAACAAGAATACTGTTATTTAAGTTTTGTAATCAATTCATTAAAGAAATCTTTCCTGTAACAAGAACAGAAGAATCTTTTGCACAAATGTAGCTGACATGATATCTGACTCAAGTCAGAGAAACTAATCCCAGGTTTAAGTCAGGCATATCTTTCATATCAAGCACCTATAGCATAAAAAAAGTCGAACCGGTATATGCTGATACACTAAACCTGCTCTTCAGTCTTTAAAACAGTGTTACCTGATCTCTCAAACAATTCAAAGACATAGCTACAGTTCATTTGTGCTTAAAAAAACAACCATGTGAAAGTTCACCTGCACGAGCTGTATTGAAAATACCTTCCATTTAAAAATAAACTATCAAATTTTGTCTGTGAAATATACCCATGGTTCCAAAACTGTTGAAAATTAACCTATAAAATGCTTTTCCCTGACAGGATTATGAAGTTTCATGTTGCAAAGAGAAAGTTTAAGGAAACGCTTCGCCCATATGATGTCAAAGATGTCATTGAACAGTATTCAGCAGGCCATCTAGACATGTTATGCAGGATTAAGAGTCTTCAGTCACGGTAAGGAAAGAATTAGTTACACTCTGCATAAGCATCTCATGTCATTCACTGCATAAAGTATATTGGCAACGTTTAACATTTCTGTGTTATGCAGCTGAGCCAGAAATTGTTTTGTGGGCAAAACCAAAAAAAAACACATGTATCCAAATTTATCTCAGAAAATGGAAGTCTGAAGAATAGAAAAGGTAATCCTTTATCTGTAAAGTCCATTTGTAAACAAGGACTTTAGTCAAAAGGCTGAGGAAGACATTGAGAACTGCCTCTTTTCCATCCCAAACTTCCTCTTTTCACATAAAAGAAATTGAGAACTACTGGTAATGTAGTATTTATGTTAGAGATTCCCAGCAACACTAGTTAAAAAACCAAACCAAACAACATTACATCATATTTATCATTATCAGAGGAGGTTAGGGATTCCTGCGTCAAACTGACAAGTCTCCCAGGAGTGGATGTTGTTGTTAGGATGGGAGAGCTGGGAGTGGCACTGGTATGTTTGTTTCTCCATAACATCAAGCCATTAAGAGAGGCCCCCTCTTCTTTCCCCCTTTCAGCAAGTCTAGTCTTGGCTTTCCCAGATGATGGCTAAGTTCTGGCTCCTGGTTAGTGCCAACAAAAAAGAAAAGCAGTCTAATATGTTGAAAAATCATTCCTTTTATTTTATTTCCCTTAATTAATAAAATTGTTTATCGTCTTGTTTGAGTGCTTTCCTGAAGTACTGTGATTTTTATTTTTAACATATAAATATAGCAAACACTTCCACATTTATGCCAGTTTCAGGAATGGCAACAGCTTTTGATTTCTCTTACAGTGTTGACCAAATTCTTGGGAAAGGACAAATCACAGCAGATAAAAGAAGCAGAGAGAAGAATCCTGCAGAGCATGACACAACTGATGATGTCAGTATGTTAGGGCGAGTAGTCAAAGTGGAGAAACAGGTAGAGTGATTGTCTGTATTACTTCACCTTGCTTTATTGCTCATGCCTTTTCTGTGTTTTATTGCCAGTTTCAAAAGCTGAACAGATTAATTTATTTTTCTAGTATCTGCTTCATTTATACATTGAAATAAAAATTATAGGCATCTTATTACCTTAACCTCTTCTCCCCTTTTCTCAGCTTGCTTATGAAAAATGTACAGGGCCTCTGACATTCTCTTTCAAGGGTCAATAGCGTACATCAAACTACTTTCATTTTTCTCTTCAGCAGTTACATTTTCCCTTTGCTTGGGTTCCAGATATTTTTAATTAGTATTTGTCACTAATGTTGACCTTTTCCTCTTATATAGGTACAATCCATTGAATCAAAACTGGACTGTCTATTAGATATTTATCAACAAGTTTTGCGAAAAGGATCTGCATCTGCACTCACCTTGGCTTCATTTCAAATGCCAGCTTTCGAGTGTGAGCAGACTTCTGATTATCAGAGTCCATCAGACAGCAAAGATTTGTCTAATTCTGCACAACTTAGTGGATGTGTATCCAGATCAGCTAGTGCCAATCTGCCTCGTGGCCTACAGCTTATACTGACACCAAATGAATTTAGCACTCAGGCTTACTATGCTTTTAGTCCTGCTATGCATAGTCAAGCAACACAAGTGCCAAATGATGGACCTGCAACAGTAAATAATACATCAAACCAAATAAACCAGACAACTAAGCCAGCAACTCCGACAACATTACAAATACCACCCTTCTCATCAATGAAGCATATCAATAGGCCTGAGCCCATTCATATTATTCCTGTAACCACACAGGAAAATATTTCTAATGTCACCGCTTGCCTTGTTGCATCAAAGGATAATGGACAAGTTGCACAGCCTAGTGCGACAAAGGATCTCACATGGAGAAAAAGTCTGGATACAGAAGGGGAACCTTTGCTCTCAGTTAAACCTGTAGCGCAAATGGATTTAGGAAAATCTTTATCTGTACAAAACCTTATACAGTCAACAGAGGAACTGAATATACAGATTGCTGGCAGTGACTCCAGTGGTTCCAGAGGTAGTCAAGATGTATACTCTAAATGGAGGGAGTCAAAATTATTTATAACAGATGAAGAGTTGGAGACAGAGGCAGGGACAGAGACTACTGAAGCCATCTCGCGCCCATTAGTGGAAACAACTCTCTCTGCTGACTCTCTAAGGACTGGAATATCAAGATCATCTCAAAACATCTGCAAGCCAGGGGATGGTACAGAAGCACTCAATCTGCTCCATGTCAAACTTAAATAACTTCTGGCTTTCTTCATTGGCTGGGTCATTCCTCTAGTCATACATATCATAGCATGAACTGTTTTGAAAGCCTTTTTAATAAGATAAAATCACAAAAATCAGGATGAATCTGCAAAGCAGTTGAATGAGCCCATATTTCCTAGTTGCATGAAAAAGCATGTCTAAGCAATGGCTAACATCCAAATTTACACCTACAGTACAGCAGCCTTTCATGTAGTACAGTAGGTTTAAACAATGAGTAGTTGCCTACAAAGCTAATGCTGCAGGATGTATCAAAAAACAAAAAACTGAGCATTTAGACCTTGTGCTGTTTCTATGGGGCAGAAGTAAAAAAATCTTAAGGTTTAAAGCACTTTGCTTCTGAACTGATTATATATATATATATATAATGTCCTGATTTAGATGATAGTTTATGTTTACAACAAAAAGATTATCTACAGCTGCTAGCAAGGTACCAAGGAAATGAGTAACATGGGGTTAGAAATGGCTGACAGTCGCAAGATAGACACATTAACTCATCAGTTATCAGTTATTTTTAGCTCTGAAGAACAGTATGTTAATACCTGTCCAGTGCTGTGGCAGAAGTACCTGACACACCACTGTCACATTGTTCTTTATAAGAAGAACTATTTTGTTACAAAAGGTTTATATTTTAAGGATTGGGTCTGGCCTCAGAAGTGGATAACGTGAGTGACTGCACTGAAAATTCAAGGGAATCTGTCCTTCTTCTAGTCTCATTGAGAAGCTGACTTGTGAATCTGAACCATTTTGGCAGCAGTAGGTGAGGGAAGGAAGCAGGTGCTGCCTTTATTGTAGGAGCAATATTTCCTTCTTGTGAAAATTTTGGCAATTTTCCTTGCAATCCCAACCTGATACTACAACAGCACTTTTATAAGGCTGGACAAGAAGGGAAAATGAGGAACTGAAATACAGAGTAAAACTAAAGAGGACAGAAGGGAGAAAGACAACACAATCAATGGGAAAATAAATAAATAATAATGTGGATTTAGATGGGCAGGAAGGGAAATCATCCCAGAAAATAAAACAAGAAAGGTAAAGAAGGAAAAAGTTACGTTTGGTTTTTTTCCCCACAGATACTGAGTGTTATTAAAAAAAAATGCCACATAGGCAAGGTCTTGTTGCTTTTTTAATAAAAGGGGAAGAGGAGAGAGGGAAAATGGTCCCACTCTTAGCTCAATACTATGTCCCAACTACAGTGATTTCTTGTGAACTTTCCAACACAGGACTCACAGATTCCTTCCTGCTAAAACCCAAGTTTTCAAATTCAAAGCCTAATCAGACTGAGCATTCCTGCCTGATACATCCTCTTTCCTTTTCTCACTCTAGACTACACTTCACTTCTGCTGAGGTGCAGGAGCAGTGTTAGTGCCTGCCTGCACATCCCCAGCAAGGCTTTGCCACTGGGAGAACCCTTTGCAGACCCTAAACCCTTTCACTCTTCCCAGCTGAATGAGGTTTCTGTGTGTTGCCTCCCACCAGATTGTCACCCCACCTGCACCACAGGCTTGTAGACAACCCAGCTTGGGCTCAGCTTCCCTCTAGCAGCAGGAATATCGAATGTACGAGTGTGCCAGTGCCAGCTCACTCAGGGCAGTGTTTTCTCAAGGCCCAGACCCGCTGGGAAATCGCTATGTACATCAAAAACATCACTCCAGTCTTAACTGTGGCTAAATGCTGTAGATTGTATTGTGAAGGAGCTGATCTGTTTACTATGAAACCATTGTAACTTATGCTTCCATTTGCTTTACAGAAGTATTCCTGGATGTTACATGAGAACTTTATTATTATGTGAAAGTACGTGCAAACTGTAGAGTGTATATATTGTGTCATTATACGGGGTCCATGGATGGTACACTGTGTTCCATGGCTTATGCCGGAGCAAACTTCAGTTGTTAAATCCTGAAAGACACCTTGAAGCACAATTTCCTCACTGCTGATTTGCCATATAGTTCACCACATTCAGCCTTTCCTGTTTTCCTTTATGTGCAATCTGACCATACCGAAGCCTGATTACAACAGCAGTTTTGTGAGGATAAATACATTTTTTCCCACATCTCAGTTCACTTAACTGTTAACTTATTTGAATGTCTGCAGTTTATCCAGACAGATATGTACATTTAAAGTATTGAAAATTTCAAAATTATAATAGTTTTTTAGGCTACTTTTTCCTTTTTCCTGTTTATGGTGCCTTTCTTGCCTTTGATGTGAAGCCTCCTGCTGACCTAAGAAGCATCAATGTACTGTCAGGTTCAGTTAAGGAGCAAGCGATTGGGCACACGGCAGCTGTGTGTCCACAGTGAAACTCCCTTCCCCTCCTTGACAAGACCGAAAATCCAAGGCATCATGAATTGGACACCACTCTTCCACCTCCATCTGCAGGAGCAGATGGCTGCACCCCATTGCGGCCGGAAGGCACCGATGGCAGAACTGAGCAATGGCCCTGCCTGTCCCGATTCTGCACAGAAACAGGGCCTTGGGGCTTGCTGATAATTTATCTCACAGAAACTTGGTATTTTTGCCTTAAATGAGATGCTTGAGTCCTTCTAACTTTAAGTTAATTTATTTAATACAATTTTGTGCACAAAAGAATGAGTTCTATAAATTATGTATGAAAATATTAATGTCTTTACAAAGTACTGATAAACCCAGAAGATCGTATCTTTTCAAATTAAGGTTTAAAATTCTAATTTTTTTTCTTTTATGCTCACCATTATTATTTTTGTAGATGCAAGTCTTATCATATAGGGTTTTTTAACATTATATTGATAGAAAATAGAAAGAGTAGTGAATATATGAGATTTTAAAGAGGAAGAATTGTTTGTTTGGACTTTTATAAGCTTTACTCATATTTCCTCATGAGAAGTTTCTAGGCTCTCTCTTTAAAAGACAATGTCATGACTGACAGTCATTCAGTGGTTTCACAAAAGAAGGGCCTGTCTGGCTTCTCTTGTCCTGAGCTCCTTATTTAAGTCCAGCTCATGAGAACTAATAAGAATTGTTCCTGAGTAAGGACAAAGAATTTTATTTTTAATTTTTTTTCTGATTAACAATCCACTTGAGAATTGTTTGAAGAGAGAAGTTGAAATTAAGTAAGAGCTTCAGGACTTAAGCCTTATCTAAATAACTGTTTTCTGGTCAGCATGTTCTACCTGACTGAAGAGAGAGCTGAAAAGAATGGTTTCAATGACTATTATTTGTTCAAAAATTTGTATTTGCTCCTGGTTTATATGATCTATACTTTTTATTTAAAAATTAATATGATGTTTTAGCCTAGGGTTCAAGATTGCAAAGATCATACACTTTTATTTACAGTGCCCACAGTTGTTCCATATGTTTTTGAGACACTCCTACTTAGAGTGACTGCTCTCATTGTAGTATGGTGATGAGTAATTCACCTGCTTTTCTGTGATAAGTCAAATCATGCTGAATTGCTGATGTATAGTAGAACATCTGATGTACAGTAGTATTTCTGGATTGGGACCTGCAATCCTTACTCAAGTAAAAATTCTATGGAATTCATTCATTCTATGAAATTCAAGAATTTTTCTTGAATTGGGAACTCAGATTCAAATCCTGATTTTGTTGGGCATCTGTTTGAAGTGAAAATGGTAATATTCCAGTTATTTCCTGAGGAAACTAATACTTAGCTGACTACCCTTGTCACATTGACTATATAAAAAATAACGCACAAAGTACTGATATAAAAAGGGAAGGAGAGAAGCGACATTTTTTAAAAGCACAGAGAAAATCAGAATATTCAGAAAGTAGGAATAAGCAGGAAAAGAAAATATAACAGCAACGGAATGGAGGAAAAAAGGGTTTAAACACCCAAGGCTAAATTCATCCTTGGATGGCTTCACTGACTTCAATGAATTCACTGCCCAACTGGGTGAAGCTCAGCCTCCATTGGGATAATCACACTCAGTTCCATTGACCTTACAGGAACTGAACAACCTGTACCAGAAAGGAACTTGCCTCTCTGGGCCAACTTTTATCCTGACTTATTTGTCATGCAATCCTTTTGGATTCACTGGGTTTGAATGAAATATGGAAAAGAATTTGTCCCAGGTATTTCTGCTTCACATTTTTTTTCAAGTGTGTTAATTGACTTTATTCAAATGGATTACAACATTACACAATGTGCTGTCACTGTCTAAAAAGATTAATTTGTTTTTGAAATAAGATTTGTCCCCTGCAACGTCAGTGGAAGCATGTAATATTTAATATTTTCCTATCCATTCATCTGGATGCAAATGTGGCCATTCACTCAGCTATGGCCACACACAGAACAATTCGACATATCCAATGTCATCTGCTATTGGAAGCATTTTTGACTTCTTTGAAAGGCAAAAAGTTTCATAGCAGGCTTAGAGAGCACGATGGCTGCTTCCACTGACACTGCAACATTAGCCAGTACATTACAATGTTAATTGTAAATTCTTGGCAAAGTTGAATCCATATTGTTGTTAATAAAAATGACTTGAAAAGTACCGTGACTACTGAGATTTTTCCTTATAGAAAAGATTGTATGGTGTGACCACATATCAGGTAAGAAAAAACAATTAAGCTTGTTCATTGGTTTCCTTTTGAAGTTTTGTAATTTTTTAATTAGTGAACTAAAACACTACAAAGGAAGTTTATTAGAATAAAATGTGCAGAAACCAGTCTGACATGTTCAGTTTCTGGTAACTGTTTACAGCAGTTTACTTTCACTTAATGTTGCAGCTCCTCTATGAAAATGAGCTTGGAAGTTATTGCTGCCTTCCCTGTTTGATAAAGGGCAATGGATTCAGTGTTGGCAATCAGGGACCTGTGTGGGGAGCAGGATTTCTCATGGAAGGCACATCTGTCATCTCAGTTTAACTTGAGGCCTAGGTGAAGCCATTTCTTCTGCATTTGACTGTGAAAGTTGCTGTAGTAGAATGTTACTGCACCAAACCTGAACCATTCATTTGCAACACGCCTCTTTTCGCCACTGTGCTCTTCCTACAGGCTGGCTGAAGACAAGCTTCACTATTTGAGTGTAAAATACTAAATACATAGAGCCTCTTCTTGTGCTGAAGTCACTGCCTTTGCGGAGTTACCCAGATATCTCAATGTGCAGGTGATCCCCAGCCGCTCTGATGAACATCACCTTAAGACACTGAAATTTAAAGTCATGGTGGCCAGAAAGGGAGAAGCAAACGTACACATTCTCTTCTTGTGTTAAAGCAGGCAGCCTTGCTTCCTGTGTGCACAGAGCTGTTAGGGAAGGCTCAGAAGACAGCAGAAAGTAGTTTTTCCTGTTGGGTTACCCAGCAGATTGCCACAACTAGGCACAAGTGGTGATATGTATCCATAAAGACACATGCATAAAGACACACAAGTGGTGATATGTATCCATAAAGACACATCCATGTTCAGCTCTGTGCAATAAGAATTCAGGACTCTACCTAACAAGGAAATTTAAACACTCATTTAGCATTTTTTTGTGTAATTGAAGGGGTATGTTAGCTCTTTTTTGTTTTCATTTGGTTTTTTCTATTTTTTTTCCACAGTGATGGTAACAAAGCACTGACACAGTTTACCCAGGGAGGTTGTGGAATCTCTGTCCTTGGAGAAAGTCACAGGCCACCTTGGCAACTGGCTCTTGGTGTCCCTGCTTGAGCAGAGGGGCTGGACCAGATGGGCCCCAGAGGCCTTCAAGCTCAACCATTCTGTGATTCTGTTTCCAGTATTGTATCAGCTTTAGTACACTGAGTCATAATGAACATAAAAGCTTCATTAAAGCATCATTAAGGCTTCATTTGAGATTAAGTATTACGACTTTGCTTAAAAAATCAGACTGCAATGTATCAGCATGACACCAGCCTGGGCACCTGGCAAAATTACACAGTGTCACTCTCACTCCCTTGCCTCCCCTGAGGCTGCCTGCCTTTCCCTTCCACCCTATAGACTTTGTTGCCTCCCACATGTTCTCAACCCTGTTCTTGCCTCTGCTGCCTCCTCCTCTTCCTCAGCTAAGCCCAACCCAGGGTTCCCCTGTGCTGGCAGAGGAGCAGAGAGGAAATCAGAAAGTATCAGCAATAGTGTGGCCAGCAGGACCAGGG